GCCTTTGGGGGTGGGGGACACCTCTTGGCAATTTACCAACCAAGAAGAAAAGCTCTACAAATCAAATAAGATTTCAAAACTTTGCCCCTCCAATCTTCCATTGAGCGTGCATACCATTTTATATAAGATATGTCATTTTTTTATGCTGACTATATGTAATGGTTTGGATTAAAAATAATAAGGGTAAATTACACTGACCTCCCCTAAGGTTCACCTTAATTACAAGGACCTCCCCTGTAGTTTCAAAAATAACACAAACCTCCCTTACTTTTGATACTAATATACAAATAGCCCTTTCTCGTTAAAAGAGCCTTAACGACGTTAGCTTGACAGTAGAATTGACCATAATACCCCTCTCATTCATTCATATATATATAAAGAGAGAGAGAATATATATATATAAACACATACATATCTTATATATATATATATCACTGTACCCATTCCATCTCTCTTTCCTCTCATTCTCTCTGTGTGCTCTCTCTCTCTCTCTCCCTCTCCCTCTTCTGCAATTATTGCTGCCTTTTTCTCTTTGCTTCTCGGTCTCTCTCTATCCCCTTCTGCATGCACAGGTTAGCGATTTGGGTTGAGAGTGGTCCGACAAGCTAGAGGCAGAGCTCGCTGACTCGACTGTTATATATGTATGTATGTATTTGTCTCGTGATCCCTAGAATCAACTCTGACCACATCACTCTCTCTCTCTACATATGTGTATTTATGTATGTATGTATGTATATGTGGGGATTCAATCGACGATTATGGTTTACAAAGATGAAATTAGAAGCAACGGCGGTGGCGATTTGATGAATTTGTGATCTGTTATATATATATACATATATAGAGGGACAGAAAAGGTCTTCTTGGCTTAGTGTGAGACTCTGGAGTAGAGAGCTTCAGTGAAGCAAAAGCTTGGCCATCAAATCCTTAATGCAGATCTTCAAATCCTAACGGAAGTTGTTGATGTTGATGGAGATGAAAAAAGATTGGAGAGAAACAAGGCGGTTGTGGGTGGTGGTGAATAGAGGGTCATCATCGCAACTACATGAATTAGAGGAGACAAGTTCAGAGTGTAGATGATGTAAGTGACGAAGACGAAGATGATGAGCCAGGTCATGAACTTGGGCATAGTTCGATTTGATAAACCCATAACAGTAATAAGTGTCATTGATAATGGGTTTCTTATCTGATTCCAAACCACCTTCTCTAAATCTCTCTAGGTTACTTTATGGTGTGAAGAAGAAGAACAACAACAACTACAAACAACGAATCGAGCTATAGGTTTTGGGAGAGTTCACTAGATCAGCGTAATGAGGGTTTTCCCTTTGAATTATCTGTCACAAAAATTGGGGGAGAGAGAGATTTTAGAGAGAGTTTGAGCATCAGAAACAGTTACATGCATGATATGTATGTGTTTATATATGTATATATATATATGTGTATGTGTGGGTAAATTACACTTACCTCCCTTGAAGGGTAGTATTGGAATTTGAAGAATAATTATGGATGACATTAGCAGAATTTATTTGAATTTGGACGGATGGATAACAGAATGGGGTATTTGTATATTAGTTTCAAAAGAAAGGGAGGTCTGTGTTATTTTTGAAACTGCAGTGGAGGTCCTTGTAATTAAGGTAAACCTCAGGGGAGGTCAATGTAATTTACCCAAATAATAATGAAAATTCCATACAGCTTCCATTATATGTAGCTTTGATGGGTCAGTGCAAACTAGTAGTTCTTCATTCTTTCTAGGATTTTTAAGAGGTGAGAAAAATAAGATTGGAAGAACTACAATTCTGTCTGTTTCTATCCCTTGTTCCTTCTTTATTGACTTCTCTTGAACTATATTATGGGGAGTTCTAGTGCCCTCTATTTGTGTGTGTATTTGTTTTTGTAAATAGTATGTATATTACTTGTAATTGTGATAGTGTTTGGCATCTTATGTTTGTTGAATGTTAAAGGGAAGATTTGATCATTTACTTTATTTAAAATATGCAAATGAAATTATTTTTATGGCTTGACTTCATAGATGCAGTGGGATACTACATTATGAATTTTGTTCATTAAATAATTGGTTTGGAAAAGTCAACTATGTTTGCAATGTATTGAGGGTATATGAAGATGGTCAAAGACCCACCCTTTTATGGATATAAAGGCCAAACATCATTAGTAAGTTGCTTGCCCAATTGCCCATGCATTTGTTTTGGGATCATTCAACTGGTTTTATGGTATGTAGTTAAGCTTCCTCATCAACAGAGATACTCAAAATCAATTTTTCAAACACAATATTTGTTTTAAAATAGAGCATTTTATGGTATATGCTTTCGTAATCGTTTTGGCATTTGCTTGTTTCTACATAGTTTAATTTTAAGTTACAAAAAGCAAGATTTGCTTATAGAACTTGAAAATAGTCTTTTGGATTATTTCATAAGTTAATTAAATGAGATATATTTAGGCTCATTTCTATAAATCATGGACGTTCATATATACATGAATATGGTTGCACCTTGTTGGCAATCATTGGTAGTGTTGGTAGACCATGGGACTTCTAGGAATCATGGTAGGTATTATGATGGCATGAGACCACTTCGAGCAGGAGATGACCTCATTTTATAGTAGAATTAGGTCATGGGGACTGACTCATTCTTCAGAGTTATGCTTAGTAGATGTGATGCATCTTATTAGGTATCATAGTGGGTAGGCGTGATATACTTCTTTTGATATCACATGACTTAGTCTATTTGATCTTCTTGCAGAGGTCTCTTTATCACGTCTAGCCAAAGTAGGGTCACATTGAGAGGGCTAAACTAAAAAACTTTGATGATCACTCAACTCTAGTTGTCAATCATGTCCCTAGATTGAATTTATAAGTTATTAATTGTTTTCTTACATATATCTATGTGTGTGTGTGCAAAAATAAGGTCACAATAACTTTTAGTCCTTTTGACATGGCAGCTCAACATCAAGTATAGTCCTCATCATCGATACAAGATGTCACTCTTACTCAGGTACCCACTAAGAGCTAATCATATATATGACATTACTTCCAGCTTTGTTTTAGAATAGTATGCAAAACTTGTCTTAGAATTGTAGAATGATAAGAAAGTGTTCCAAAATATATCTCCCTGTTTTGGTGGCAAATTTTAGTTAGTAGTAAGTTTTGGATTAATACTCTATTCGACCCTGTTTTGGGGCAACTAAAACAATTGTAATCGAGTTGTAAATCTGTTTACAAAGACTTGTATAAGTAGGGTCCAAGCAAAACAGAAAAATGAACAAATTGTAGTCAATACTCTTTGAGGAAGTATAATTCTAGAAAGTTTTTTTCTCGTTTTTGTTTCTGCTTCTGAGAAACTATGTGAGCTCTTCTTTCTTGGTTAAGGCTTGTAACAATCATAAATAATGACATTTTGAACTTATAAAAGTACATGAACGTCATTAAACCTTGGCATTTTCATTTCTAACATATAGAAAAAAGTCAAAAGTAGTGAAAAGGGATCCTGATATTGGTAATGGACATGGTTTTGATTGTTGTTGATTGGTGCCTTTGATTGTTGCTAATTTTTTAAGCTATTGTTTTATACTGTCTAAAGGCTTATGGTTGTTGCTTTCATATAATTTGTTGTAATGTGGTGGACCAATTAAGTGATTAAACCATAATAAATTGATTCCCAAAATATTTTTGTTTCCTTTCACTCAAATATATATGTGTGTATCTAAAATATATAAAAGTAGACAAGTAGCATGTGGCTTGCTTATCTACTAGAGAAATGTATATCACTTTCAGTTATGATCATTAGCACTTTGCACTAGTTTTTTTTTTTTTAATATTATTTATTAGTTGTAAATACATATTTACTTAAGTAGTTAAATTTTGATTTATAGGTTGGAGATATAGTTGTTCTAAAAAGTATCATTAGGCCAACAGAAACAATTGCAATCGAAGTACTTAAAAACACAAATCTATCTAAAGAAGTAGAAGGGGAAGAACTAGGACCTGACTATTGGGAGGTACATGTTTAAGTACCAATCAAACCTAATAAGAGCTTGACCGGAACATATGGACTTGTCAAAACAATTGGACAAACTATTGGAGCTCATATTGCTTGGCTTGCTCCATATGTGGTATATTTCTTCCATAAATTCTAATTTCATTAACAAATTTATATTAACTTAATATAGTTTCTAATACTTTTGTATGTTTATCTTTAGATGCAATTTCGTAAGTTATGGATGCTAGTCAAGAATACTTATACAAGCGAGGTTGAGAATTTGGAGACTGAATTTGTTTTGGTAATTTGTCTCTATAAAAGATGGATATAACTATGGTTTTCGAGAACTTATATTGGAATTTTTATTTATTTATTTATTTTTAAGCTTTAACTTTGTTAGTATGGTAGAATTTTTTTTTTGTTAGTGTGGTAGAATTTTTTTTTTGTAATTTTTATTGTAATATAAATAAATTTATATCTTTAGATCAAAAAATAATTGTGGCTTGAATTTTCTTTGTTTTTAATGTGATAATCCTATGGTGGTAATATTTGTTTATTATTATGGAAATATTACAAGATAAATGGATGTTAAATTACTATAGGATGTGGCAATTAATATTTAATTTTTTATAAAATAAGGGACAATTTTTATAGCCAATTACGCATGCTTAGTTGTGCCTTTTAAAAGTGTCATTGAAAAGAACATATAAACACTACTATAAAAATGCTTAAAGATCACACTTAAAGAAATTAAAACATGACACTTTTAATGCAAGTGTGATTAAAAAAATCGAATTGATATTTTAATCATACTTAATTTAATTGAGTATGATTGTATTTATTTTTTATCACACCTTTCAATTAAATGTGATTATATCATTTTTTTTTATCATACCTTCTAATCAACGTGTGATTATATGTATTTTTTAAATTTGTTAAACAAATGAGATTAAAAATACTTTTTTTTTTTAAACTGCTGCCCACCCTTACATTAAACAAATCATTTTTATCTTTTGGAATTCCAAACCAAATAACTGCTCTCTTTTTGTTTGAATACCAAACCTATCTCTCACTCCTCTATCTCTCACTCTCTCCAAACCCTAACCCTAGTCTTCTGCATATTCTTGGATTAGCCGCCACTATCTTCATTCTTCGACCAGTGGAGAATGATGAGCGGCGACAGTGGAGGCGATCAGCTAGCGGCGGCAGTGGCAGCGATCGGCGAGCGGTGGCGATAACTAAGGTATATTTTTCTCTTCTCTTTTCTTCTTCTCTTCTTATTCTTCATAGAAACACTGCTATACTTTTGATTATTGGATTGAGTTGCTTATGGTCATTGAGTATAAATAATCCTACTTTACGATGTAAAGTTTCCTGAAAATTGGTCTAAAGCATCGCACTTAATTAGCTAATTCGACAAGGGGATTTGGCCATATGGACTGACATACAATTTATCCCCATAGAAATTAAGAGATTCACACTTCGTAGTAGAAATGCTCACAGTAGTAAGGACCCAAAACCAGTTCACACCAACTAATTCATGGTTGATGAGTCTGTTGTAATCAAAATCTATGTCATTTGCATATTACCTAGAAATAGTGATCTAAAACAGGAATTACTGTGTTTAAATTAATTACATACGTAATATTAGACAGTCCCCATTTCGAGCAGAGGCATCATTGGCAACAAATATAGGATGGCAAGCACTAGGGGCGTGGGACAGAACAATCTGCTGGAGTTGGTGTTAATCATGGGGTCAGGTAGTGGTATTACTTTGAAACTTGAGTTTATTATCCTCACTAGTTCATAATTAAAAGGAAATTTTCACATTGAAAATTTATAATCACAAAGAACTCTTAAACCCAACAATTGTAAATAAAGATATTATATAGAGGAAGGGAATCATTGGAAAATAATAATGGTTGAGCTGACTAAAGACTCTGCTTCCTAAGAGCAATCACTGCAAATTTGAATCAATTACGTCAAATGGGAATCGTCAAAATTTTAATAAAGGTTGAGCTAATCATAGGCTCTGCTTCCCGTGATTGTAATTTCATTAAATTTATTACTACAAATTTTAAACAAGTTATAATAAGTGGAATTGTTGACATTACTAGAATCAACTTTTGCTGTCAAAATCAAAGGGAATGCCACCTATGTAGAAAGGAGTCAAAGTTGTCACAAGATAAAGGTAAGAAGATTTCCTTATTTTATATTGATAGTTATTTCTGTTTGGGTGTGGTTATCTCTCTCTCTCTCTCTCTCTCTCACTGAGTTCAGTTCATCTTGTGGAGGACGGTCTCTGATTGTTTGAGGGCACCATAGAGACATTTTTGTAATCTTCACGTTTTTGAAATCTTTGCAATATCCATTCATATGGATCTCAGCAGTGTGTCACCTTTCTGTGAAGTGAATTCCTAATTATTGACTATGCATTTGATGAAAGGTAACTGCTGCAAAAAGGCCAAAGAATAGTGCATTAGAAATTGATCTAGATTTCGAGCACAATGCGAAACCTGCCCCTGTAATCACAGAGGTAAGATTAGCTAGAGTTTGGTTCATTTATACATACAGACAAGCTTTAAAGAAGCCGAGCTGCAACTATTCATGAGCAGTTTGGTTCACTTGCAGCCCTAGTCAAACAGATAATAGTTTGCCAATAATACTCACTGCCAAGGGTCACTTACAAATATAAGATGTTATTCGTGATTTCTAATTTATGTTGTGGAAAACTGTATTATTTGCTGTCACAGTGGAGTTCTGAAGTATGGTATGATGAAAAACACTTTCTTCAATGAAAAGCAGCACAATGCCCCAAACATTAGTAGAATTCCTGGACATTACTATTTTACCTTGTCATTCCTGTTATGGTACACATCTATGGATCCTATTGTTTTATCATTTTTTTCAAATGTTATGTTCTTTTCTTACTTGTGATACTCACTATCAGTGTTGCTCTAGCATTGTTTTATCTTTTTTATCATTTTGGTGCTCTAGCATTCTCTTATTAGCAATTCAAGCAAATGTTCAACAATGTCAGAGTAACACTGATAGAAGAAATTGAGCATCACAAGTAAAAAGAGAATGTAACATTTGAACCAAATGATAAAACAAGGGGATTCATAGATGTATACCATAACAAGCTGGTATAGTTACATGTATATATATATGTATGTGTATGTGTATGTATACATGTATGTGTATACATATACATGTCACTGAATTGCTAATAAGAGATATCTATTGTATCATATTTCTTAGGGGCATTTTGATGATGTTCAGAAAGCTCCTAGTCTACCATCTAAAGCACCAAAAGAATTCAAGGAATTGGTAATCAATGCTTTCCAATATATTTTTGTTTTTTCATTTCTCTTATGTATATTATTATATATATTTTAAATATGAAAGTAAAAAGTAGCATGAATGAGCTTCATTTTGCTTGTATTTTGCAGGATGATAATAAGAGCAAGAAGGGACTTGCTAAAGTTCACGAGGTTCATATATCCTAAACTTCATTAGTTGTTTGATACACAAATTCGTTGGCTGCTCATTTATGATGTAGACTAAGTTCTCCATTAGATACTTAGCATTATGTGATGCCTATCAGTCCATTAATTGTGAAATGATGTGCATTGATTCTTCTTTAATTAGTTTTAACTATCATACATTGATTGGTTTTTAATCATTGCAAGAAGAATATGTTCAGAAAATTGGCCTAGTTCCTGCAGCATTGTCTTTCTCAGATGAACAGAAGAAAGAGGTGCACTTTGTTTGCTTCACTAGATGTTACTGCCTTCTATTTCTATCACATTTAGTTAGTGATTATATCTCTAGAGTGATTGAATTGAGACAACTTATCTCTGTTAGCTGAAGATCAGTATCACTACTACAAAAGAAATAAATAGAATAGGCTACGTGCTCATCATGATAGTGATTGGCCTTCTTTTGTTCATACCCTTTCTTTTGGCCTTATTTTGTTCACACGCTGTCTTCTTTTTTATGCCAATTCCACTGCCCATTAGATCATATATAATATAGCCATCATTGGTATAATGAAATATTAAAACTAGCATGCAAAAATGGCCCTAAATGTGAGATAAAGAAGCAACTCACAGCTACTGACCCCAAACAGATGAGGGCCCTTCAACAATGTTGAAGAGGGGCACAAAATATGATATTTTACAGTTTATGACAAACCACAAAAACCAACACAGGTATGGCTAAGCTCTCATGCAAGAAATGGGCCAAAAGAGGGTCAAAGAAGCAAGTAGTGGTTTCTGGCCTTAAACACAAAGGGGCCCTTCAACAATGTTGAGGAGGGGCCAAAAATATTGCACTTTACAGTTGGTGGCCGGACCCAAAACAGTATGCACACAAGCCTAAAATACTACACAAAATAAGGCCAAGAAGAGAGATATAACACAAAGTATACAAAGGATGCCTCAAACCGTGAAAGACCCTTAATGAAACATGTAGATGGGGTCAAAATAAGGTCATTTGTAGTTCGGAACACAGCCCAAAAACAGAAGCAAAATAGGCTAATAAATCATGCAAAAATGGAGCCAAAATAGAGATATAAAGGCAAGTGGAAGATAGAAGTCTCAAACAGCAATATTCCCTTCAACAATGTTGAATAAGGGTTCAAAATAAGCTACTTTTCAGTTCATGAAAGAGCTCAAAATAGTTTATACACAGGCCAAAAATACTACACAAGACAATGGCATAATGAAGTAAGTGCACCAAGGAGGCCTCAAACAGTGAGAGACCTTTAATGAAACATGAAAAATGGCTCAAAATAAGCCTAGTTCCAGTTAGGGTCTGAGCCCAAAACAGTAAGAAAGAATGATTTATGTATAGATCAAGAAAAGGATAGAAAAGAGAAAAAAGGAGCTCACCTTTGAAGACTTGTCTTTGGCAGCTCCTTGGCTTGAGTTGCAGCACTCCTAGGCTCTGGAAAACAACTTCAAATGGCTGCAATGGAGGTTGGAGGTATGGTGCTAGGTGGTGGTGTAGAGAAGGGTGTAAGAACTTGAGGGTTTTGGGGTTTGGAGATATAGAGAGAGAGAGATATAAGGCAAGAGCTCCAAGGGAAATTTTATAACCCCAAAATACAGATGGGAGCTGCTGGTTTTATAAGCAAAAGATGTGGAAAAGAGGGGGAAAAATGGGGGGGAAATTCAAATTCAAATTTCCCCACAAAAAGGCCAAAAAGTGGGATATAAAGGCAAGTGGTAGCTGCTGGACCCAAATGGCCGAGAGCCCTTAAACAAAGTTGAAGAGAGACTCAAAACAAGACACTTTGTAGTTTATGACCAAGTCCGAAACAGCGCACAAGTAAGCCTAAAATACCGTGCAAAAATAGGCCTAAAAGAGCGTTAAAGAAGCAAGTGATAGGAGGAGATCTCAAACAGCAAAAAGTCCTTAATAAAACATGAAAAAGATCACAAAATATGACTATCTCAAGTTCAGGTCGGAACCCAAAAATGCAGAATGAAGGTTCGGGAGCCAAAACATGCAGTTCGGGGCCCCGAAAGTGGGTTGCTAGGCACCGGAAGTGATGTTCGACCACGAAGTCGGTTTCTCGGGCCACAGTGTCCCTCAAAAAGGAGCAAATAAGATGCATGCCAAAAACCGGAGCAAACGGAGGTGGTTAAGCGGTCCCGAACTGAGTCACACGGCCAACGGCTCCGAAAAATCGGAAACCGGACTCCAAAAGGGCAAAATGGCCTACGGCCACTGAGAGATGATCTATGAGACCTCTCCCTCCCTTCGGGAAGAGAAAACAGAGAAAACAGAGTCTGGTTCGCAAACCGAGGCAAAGTACAAAAGAGTTCGGAAGTCCGGAGGCAGGGCTCGCAGCCGAGACTCTGAAACCTCTGAACGAGCACGATATGCAACATCACCAAGCGCTCAATCGGTGACGTCTGAGTCTTAAGGTTGGTCAAAAATGGGGTGTCTACATGTAGTGGTATTACTTTGAAACTTGAGTTTATTATCCTCACTAGTTCATAATTAAAATGAAATTTTCACATTGAAAATTTATAATCACAAAGAACTCTTAAACCCAACAATTGTAAATAAAGATATTATATAGAGGAAAGGAATCACTGGAAAATAATAATGGTTGAGCTGACTAAAGACTCTGCTTCCTAAGAGTAATCACTGCAAATTTGAATCAATTACGTCAAATGGGAATCGTTAAAATTTTAATAAAGGTTGAGCTAATCATAGGCTCTGCTTCCCGTGATTGTAATTTCATTAAATTTATTACTACAAATTTTAAACAAGTTATAATAAGTGGAATTGTTGACATTACTAGAATCAACTTTTGCTGTCAAAATCAAAGGGAATGCCACCTATGTAGAAAGGAGTCAAAGTTGTCACAAGATAAAGGTAAGAAGATTTCCTCATTTTATATTGATAGTTATTTCTGTTTGGGTGTGGTTATCTCTCTCTCTCTCTCTCTCTCTCACTGAGTTCAGTTCATCTTGTGGAGAACGGTCTCTGATTGTTTGAGGGCACCATAGAGACATTTTTATAATCTTCACGTTTTTGAAATCTTTGCAATATCCATTCATATGGATCTCAACAGTGTGTCACCTTTCTGTGAAGTGAATTCCTAATTATTGACTATGCATTTGATGAAAGGTAACTGCTGCAAAAAGGCCAAAGAATAGTGCATTAGAAATTGATCTAGATTTCGAGCACAATGCGAAACCTGCCCCTGTAATCACAGAGGTAAGATTAGCTAGAGTTTGGTTCATTTATACATACAGACAAGCTTTAAAGAAGCCGAGCTGCAACTATTCATGAGCAGTTTGGTTCACTTGCAGCCCTAGTCAAACAGATAATAGTTTGCCAATAATACTCACTGCCAAGGGTCACTTACAAATATAAGATGTTATTCGTGATTTCTAATTTATGCTGTGGAAAACTGTATTATTTGCTGTCACAGTGGAGTTCTGAAGTATGGTATGATGAAAAACACTTTCTTCAATGAAAAGCAGCACAATGCCCCAAACATTAGTAGAATTCCTGGACATTACTATTTTACCTTGTCATTCCTGTTATGGTACACATCTATGGATCCTATTGTTTTATCATTTTTTTCAAATGTTATGTTCTTTTCTTACTTGTGATACTCACTATCAGTGTTGCTCTAGCATTGTTTTATCTTTTTTATCATTTTGGTGCTCTAGCATTCTCTTATTAGCAATTCAAGCAAATGTTCAACAATGTCAGAGTAACACTGATAGAAGAAATTGAGCATCACAAGTAAAAAGAGAATGTAACATTTGAACCAAATGATAAAACAAGGGGATTCATAGATGTATACCATAACAAGCTGGTATAGTTACATGTATATATATATATATATATGTATGTGTATGTATACATGTATGTGTATACATATACATGTCACTGAATTGCTAATAAGAGATATCTATTGTATCATATTTCTTAGAGGCATTTTGATGATGTTCAAAAAGCTCCTAGTCTGCTATCTAAAGCACCAAAGAATTCAAGGAATTGGTAATCAATGCTTTCCAATATATTTTCATTTTTTCATTTCTTTTATGTATATTACTATATATATTTTAAATATGAAAGTAAAAAGCAACATGAATGAGCTTCATTTTACTTGTATTTTGCAGGATGACAATAAGAGCAAGAAGGGACTTGTTGAAGGTCACGAGGTTCATATATCCTAAACTTCATTAGCTGTTTGATACACAAATTCGTTGGTTGCTTATTTATTGTCACGACCCAAACCCGCCTCTATGGGTTTAGCACCGTAACCGGCCAGTAATCCGTGATTACCGAAGGCCTGCTTAACAGTAATAACAGTAACACAGAGTACAAGGGCTGGCGGAAGCCAAAACAGTAATAAGAGATGTCCAATGAGCTGTGACAGTCTGTATGCAAAAAGACTTTTCATACATATTCACATTCAGAACTAAAACAGTATATACATACATCATATACAGGCATTCAGGTTAGGGACCAAATCCCTAACATAATAGTACAGTACAAGTCTATACAGTATTACAGAACAGAGACAGAAGGGTGAACTGAGACACCCCAAACGAGCCTAAGCTTGAAGGACTTGGAACCTCTCAGTGAGGCACAGTGGTTGGCTTGACAAAAAGGGAGTTAAACCCAACGCTCCTAGCTTCGATCCAGTACCTGGACACCTACATATATACATAAATAGTGAGCTAAAGCTCAGTGAATAACATGTGCGTAAAGAGGTTAAGAATGAATGTCCTTTCAGTATTTAAAACTGTCGGTTATAATAGTATATCAGTCATTCAGTCATAGCAGTCATATGTGGTACATCCCATAGCAAAACAGTACAGTAGGTCTTAACAGACCGAACAGTCATTTGATGGCCGTCGTATCAGTAAACAGTAGTGGTTCCAAACATAGGAACCGACAGAGATCTCTGTGACAGTAGCAGTACAGTATAGTGACAGTAAATTGCTATGGATGCCACGAATACAGTTCGTAAATAGGACAAGTATTCATTCAGTAAGAAATATCATTTCAGAAAGCAGTACAGTTGATCATTCAGAAAATATTCATGATTGAATATCTTTACAACATTGTTACTCACAGAGTTTTGGGCTACAGATAGGCTAGTGAGCGTCCTCGGATGCCAATTCTACACAGTTACAAGATGAACACACACTAAGTTGCACGTTTGGGAAACAATAACTTAGCCCCTATCTTGACTCGGTGTGGTTCTATAGCATTATCCTCATTAAGATGCCTTAAACTAGGCCTATGAATGCCTAGGATGGAATGAGGATGCAAAAATGCACTTTAAAACATTTTTTAAATTTTTGCTGAAACAAGGGTCTCGCTCGAGCGTGGATTTCTATGCTCGAGTGGACATGCAGACAAAAGATCTCCGCTCGAGCGTGACTTTCCCCGCTCGAGCGTACTGTATACTCAGGCAAAAGTACTGGATGCATACAATTCACGCTCGACGGGCGCTCGACCCCCGTTCGAGCGTTAGACACAAGTCCTCGCTCGAGCGTACATTTCCTCGCTCGAGCGGACTGTAAACACATGCTAAGTACTGGATACACGCATTTCACGCTCGAGCATTACATTCCCCGCTCGAGCGGACTACATGAACTCAGAGTGTACGCTCAAGCGTGTAGTTCCCCGCTCGAGTGTAGATCCAAAATCTTGAATTTCTAGATTTGTCTCCAAGCATGAAACTCAACATTTAAAGCATCAAAATCGATAATTTTGGGCTAATTTTCTGGAAAACACTTTAAAACTCATAGTATGACATGTTTCAAAGATCAATTTGAAAAATCAATGTCCAACGGTAGTTCAATTGAACCCATTACCATACAAAACTTCAAGAACATGATGTATATGCAACATGCATGAATTAATCAACTTCAAAGCTTCTAATACAAGAACAAATGAGTCAATCCTTCCAAAAACATGTTGAATTCATGGACCAAAGCTAGAATATGGACATGCATGTGAGGATTTCCATGAAATCAACCTCAAAACTCAACAATGTACACATGCATACATGAATTCCTACTCAATTCAACATATTAAGCTAATTCATGCCTTAAATCACTAACCTTACCATGAATCATGCAAGAACAACTCAAACTCACAATTAAAAGGGTGAGTCTCCTACCTCAAGTCTCCAATTCAAGGTATAGAAACTCAAATTTTGCAAGTTCCCTCAAATCTTCCAATTCTCCAAGTAAAATCTCAATTGAAGCCAAGTTTTCTCCTCTCTCACTCTTTTCTACGGTTTTGGGTCTCAAGAAGGATGATGAAAAGTGATGCCAACACATGTAAATCAAGACTAAACAATTAGGCTAGCAAAGTCCACTTAATGCCATTTTGGTAAATAAGCCAACTAATGTAATTTAACATTATTTAATCCAATTTAATCGTAGCAAATCAAAATTCTAATTAAAAATTTACCATAAAATCACATTAATTCTAATTAACACAAAACACTAATCAGTTCCGGATTCGGCCGCCGATAAGGCCTTCAATTTACAATTCGAAACTTAAAACATGAACAGATCATTAGTAGTCAAACAGATAGACATGCATTCAAACTAATACACTCAATCAATCAGTCAGAATTTCAGTCAATCAGACACTTAACATGCTTAATCATAGATTAGCACTAATCAGTGGTGAGGGTTGTCATATTTATGATGTAGACTAAGTTCTCCATTATATACTTAGCATTATGTGATGCCTATCTGTCCATTAATTGTGAAATGATGTGCATTGATTCTTCTTTAATTAGTTTTAACTATCATACATTGATTGGTTTTTAATCATTGCAACAAGAATATGTTCAAAAAACTAGCCTAGTTTCTGCGGCATTATCTTTCTCAGATAAATAGAAGAAAGAAGTGCACTTTGTTTGCTTCATTAGATGTTTGTTGCCTTCTATTTCTATCACATTTAGTTAGTGATTATATCTCTAGAGTGATTGAATTGAGACAACTTATCTCTGTTAGCCGAAGATCAGTATCACTACTACAAAATAAATAAATAGAATATGCTACGTGCTCATCATGATAGTGATTGGCCTTCTTTTGTTCATACCCTTTCTTTTGGTCTTATTTTGTTCACACCCTGTCTTCTGTTTGATGCCAATTCCATTGCCCATTAGATCATATATAATATAGCCATCATCGGTATAATGAAATATTAAATCTTAGAATGTCAAGCTTGAGTACTGTGTAATGGTCATTTTAGGTAATGAATACATCCAATGAAACTTGTTTCATATATCAAATAATTTTTACATGTAAGAGATGGAAGGAAGCCAGATGGTGTTTACCTTCTTGTTGGTTCTTGTTATCGTGGGTTCAAGGATAACTCTACGAGTGATGTCATATTCAGTTTCATTAGTTAGGTCTTTATAATTAACACACATACACAAAACTAATATTTAAAACAACCTTGTGATTTATTTATTTTTTAAATATTGAATTAAATAAAGCACAAGTTTGTAATATGTATGTCTGGTTGTTGACCCTGTAGTTTCTTTTGTTTTTTTGTGGATGCAAATAATTTTATGTGTAGAATTATATGTAAGTACAGCTTGTTCTTCTGTGTTTTTGTAGTTTCTTTTATTCATATCATTGGACCCATACTACTACTAGAGCAACTTGACATTGATCAACTAAAGTTGCATGACATAAAGGAAAAAAATTCTGAATATGGGTTGATAGGGGACCATCCATGTCTTGATAGGTCTTACAATTTGGAAGGTAATGGCTATTGGTAATTGTGTCTCTAACTAGTGACTCATCTGTCTAATAGGTCTAGGTTTCGGTGGTTTGTTGTCGTGGGGCCTATATTTTCCACTATAGTTCTTATTTGTTTGAGATATTTATGTAATGAGAAATGCCTCATGAAACAAGAATTCCACCATATCAGCCATCCATTGGCCCCATAGGGGCAAAAAATTGCCAGAAACTGGCCTTATAATAGTGGGGTAGGGCACCATTAAGGTAAAATCCCTACTCTTGTCAATGTGGCAAGAATCTGTTTGGACCCACTAATTACAGAATCCACTTGATCATTTCTGTATGTAGAAAACTGGAAATATCATTTTATGAGATGATTTCTATATGTCACCGTAGGGAGGAGGATCCTCATGAGGTTTTGCAAAGAAGCAAGTGAAGTAATAGGGAAAAGAAGGAAAACATCACATCAATTTCAAATGACAAAATTCAGAGGAAGGAAAATTCTGATAGGTAGTGTTTAGATTTACAGCTCTTGAAAATGCTTTGTCACTTCCTATCTCTTGGTTTAAAAAACTTATTTTCATTGCTTCTATCTGTTACAGTGAGGAACATTTTGAACATGCTTTTGAAGGGGTATCTAATAGAAGGAAAAGTCTAGTTCTCAATGAAGATCTGGAAGGACAAATTAAGGGTCTCTATGAAAAGTGAGTGTCATTTCATACATATGTTTTATATTGCAAATATTTGATCATGAATTGCCATTGTAATTATAACATATATATTTTAATCATGATAGAATTTAAACATATTATCGAAGTGATTGAGCAGTTGCTCATTGAAATTCTAGATGTACTCTCCATTATGTTAGGACTTGAAATTAGTAGCATTAGCGATGATTAATTCCTAAAAATGAAGTGATTATATATATATTTTTCTTTCTGACTCCTCTTTCCTTGAGCTATGTTATATGATTCTTTAGTTTTATTCCATTTTCATAATGTATTTTTTGATTGTATTTTTTGATTCTAGCGGTTTCTGAATTAATTTGTGTTTTTATTTTTCAGGTCAGAAATTTTCTGGAGAGATGCAAAATATGGTTAAAGAATTCAAGAACTTAGTTTTTTCAAGTTTTTTTTTTCATTTTTTAATATATGTAATCACAGTTAAAAACTTTTTATTAATTCCTTTGTATATACTTTTGAACATTTAACTTTCATTTATGAAATATATGATATTATTCCATTCAATATATGGTTGTGATTCAAAATATAGTACATAGTGTATATTACATTCTTCAAACGCGAGTACAAAAATAATATTGATTATTCTTCAAATATGTCGATTTTTTTTTTATCACAGGTTTTATTAATTATTAATCACACTTAAAAGATGTGATCTAAATATTTTTAATCACACTTAAAAGATGTGATGAATCATTTTTTAATGACACTTAAAAGTGTGATTAAAAATGACCATTTTTAATCACACTCCCAAAGATCACATTTTAATAAAACTTAAAAAGTGTGATTAAAAAACATACATCACACAAAAAAAATGTGATCTTCATCTATATTTGCAGTAGTGTAAGTGGCATTTCATAGTAGTGGTAGTAGCTTTGCAAAGAGTCACTAAAATAAGCTCCAATGACACTTATATCCATTTATGGCACAAATGAATTGGATTTAGTGACATTTATAAAGTTGTTAAAAATATCAATTGTCGCATAACAAGCGCTATTAAAAAAGCATATGGTGGTATTTTTTAGATTGTAAGTCTTTTTTAATGGCACTTGGTAGTGTCACAAATAGTGTCTACCATGACATCAAAGTGTCATTGAAAGTCTTAGTCTTAATGGTATAATGATACTTACAAGTGTCACTGAAGTGCCACTAAGTCTATTTTTAATGGTACTTAGTAGTGTCACGAATAGTGTCCATCATAATATCAAAGTATTATTGAAAATCTTTAGCCATGATGTTATAATAGCACTTGCAAGTGTCACTGAGATGCCACTAATATCTACCATGGCATGAGTATAAATGATACTTATTTAAAATGTCACAAGATTAAAAAGTATCAATAAATAAATAATTTTATGACACTTTCAAATGTCGCTAAATTAAAAAAATATTGTAGTCTAATAATCCCCCACTTCCAAGAACTAATAGAAATAATTCACTTTGGTTTGGTTATTTACTTTTTGAACTTTTGACTCCACTAGGTAGCCGTTATATTTGACTTGCTGTCACAATAATCACTATTTAGGATTGGTGTGGGAAGTTGGTTAGTTTTTTGAATTTTTGATTTTTTAAATTATTTTAGTTTGAGATTAAAAAATATTATTTGGAAAAGATTTTTGATTATTTTAATTTTTTTGTGAGAATAATAATGTAATGATTATGGGTTAGATGTAATATTTTGTCTTATTGAATGAAAAAGTTTATTTTATTTTTTGTGGTTAAAATAGATAAAAAAGCTCCAAACTTGACTTCCCAAACGAATCCTTATTAGTTTAAAATTGTAATCTTCATATTTAGGGTTTGTTTGTTTGGGATGTATGTTGATTTTTTGATTTTTTAACTATTTTAGTCTAAGGGTAAAAATCTTATTTGAGATAAGTTTTTTGATTTTTTTAGTTTTGTGAAAGAAAAAATAAAATGATTATAGTTTGAATGTGACATTTTATATTATTAGGTTAAAAAGTTTTTTTTTTATTTTTCTTTTATGACTATTTTAACCAAAAATATCATTTTAAACTAGGCCAAATGAATGCTTAGAAAGTGTATTGAACTCACTTAACTCATTTCTTCCGTAATTTTAGTCTAATCAAACATATATATATATATATATATATATTTAAATGCGCACCTTATCAGGTCTGTGAACAAAATGGAACTCATCAGCTAGTAGCTGAACAACCCTTCAAATATTGAGCAAATTTCACCTTATATCATTGTGGTTTGACCAATGACCTTATAATTCTATTGTGACTTATGCACTAAAATATACGATTATTTATTTACGTATTTAGATATGAGGGGGTTATGTTTATTTCTAAATATTTGGAGATAAATTGTACATGGAGTAAAACACAGTGAATTTTGCCTAAAATATTTGTAGTTTGCAAAATTAAGTGTTTAAATTAGGGAAATGATGGCCTTGTTTGGTTTGTTTTTCAAAAAAAAATTTGAGAAAAATTCTCTACAAATAAATTTTCAAGAGTAATCAAATCAAACAAATTTTTTTTAAAAAAAATTCAAAATTTTGTTTGGTTATCTACTTTCCAAAATCACTCTCTCTCATACACATCAAATCAATCAATTTTTTTAAAATTCTCTCCCCAAAATAAATTTTCAAAACTATTTCTGAAAAAAGCAAACCAAATAAGTTTTCGTACTTTTTATCTCAAAAACTATTCTACAAACACAAACCAAACACACCCGATATTTTTGTAGAAAATTAAAGATAAAAAAATATGTGACAATAACATTCTGGTAGGGAAAATAATTTACAAATATGATTTGTATATAAAAATTATGCATACAAATTATATTTAAAATGACAATGATAATCTTGTAATTATGAACCACAATAATAAATATTTCAACTTCAAATGAAAGGATCATATAAAGTCATATCATTTTATATAAAAATTATGTTTTGCATAACATTACTCTTTTTATAATTATAAATTATATTTTGACTTTCGATAAATAATTATAAATAATACACATGATTCTATATAAAATCATATTTTATTTAATAGCTCGAGAAGTACGCACATCCAATAATATTTTATGTTTTGTTCACTGTATTCTTTATTTTTCAAAGCAAGCGACCTTTTTTAATTGAATAAGCACGCAGCTAGTGTGAAATTCTCAAGTGTGTAAAATATATTTTTTTTGTGTGTTATAAACGTAGGTTGATATATAATAGATAAAAGGGTTACAAAGCTCTGGGGTACAAAGTCCCATAGCATCATCTCCTAACAGCTTAGTAATACAACTAGGAGGACTGGAAAATACATGAAAATCTTCTACTCTTGATATACATTACGCAAGTTGTAACATTTGTGATATTAATTATTATAAATATCATAATTAAGTTGTTTTTAATCATAACTATAAAAAAAAATAATGAGTCATAGGAACTAACACAATAATAAATTATAATTAAGTTATAACTAACATCATAATTAGTCGTAATTAAAGAACATAACCGTTATAAATAGAACATATAATACACACTGGAGTGTTTTTGAGTATGTATTATAGATTTTTCCAAAACTGTGAGAGTGTTTAAAAAAGTGACTATTTTAATTAATTTTTTGATTTAATAAAAAAAAATAGAGGGATAGTCAAAAAGTCAACACCCCAAACATTTTAGGCTTGTTTGGTTTGTATTTTAAGATACAATTTTCGAGAAAATTTTTCAAAATTTTGTTTGGTTCAAATTTTTTGAAAAAAAATTTCAAAATCACTTTCTCTCTCCTCTCTCTTACTCAATCATTTTTTCTCTTACATACATCTACTCAATTATAACAAAACATCAAATCATCTCAAATTTTCAAACTCTAAAACTATTTTCAAAATATATAACCAAACAAACAAAAAGAAAATTCTAAACTCTCTCTCCAAAATTTTTTGGAAAAATTATTTCAAAACACAAACTAAACACACCCTTTAACTTTGCCTTGTTCTGAGAAATAAGAAAAAAACTAACTTAGTGACTTTTTTTTTAATTTTTTAAAAAAAATATTAAAAAAATAAAAATAAAAAAATAATATGATTCAAATAAATAAATAAACTAATTTTTTTCCCTGCGTTCTAGAATAGCCCTCATCTTCAAATGGCCCTTATCTTCAAATGAATGGATATGTAACAAAATTTTTCTCTTGCATTCAAAGTCAAATGAGATTCAGATCCAGAACCAAGCAATATAAAGAACAATAAATGTGGTCTGTGAATGGGCACAATCACCCTTCCATTACAACAAAGGCAACCACTACTTAATTTTGGTTCACATTTATTGTTCAACATTTTCCTTTTTAACAACCCCCGTGAACTGTGACATATTACAAGTCAACCCAGAATCATAAGATATTTTGATTATTTATCAAACCTACGTCATTTTAAAACAAATGTCTTCAACATAAATTGCTTTAAGAATTTTTTTCACACTTATGTTGTGTTTGGTTGAGAGATTTGAGGAGGAATTTGGAAAGAGAAATGGAAAAGGTAGGTAAAATGTGAAAAAAATATATCTACATTTCACATAGTTTCACACACATTTTCTCTTTCCTTTTCCAAATCCATCCTCAAATTCCTCTAACCAAACACAACATTAAATTATTTTTAAAATTTGATTTTCAAAACACCAATTCAAAGACCTTGAAATGGACTGGAGGGTCTCTATCCTTATAGCTGCATTTGGATCCCTCTCATTGATCTAAATCATTTAGTTTTTAGTGTCTCGAGTACATTATTCATAGATAAAATTAAGTTAATTAATTATCAGTAGTTCTTGTTTAGATCATAATTATTTATTTATTTTTTTAAATGATAAACATAATTTAAAGATAAATTATTTACTTTTCTGGCAAATATGATATAAAAATATAATTATTGATATTCGATCAATCTAACTTTTTTTTACATGAACAATCTACCTAAAATTCACTGAAAATTAAAGAATTCAAATCAACAAAATGGACCAAGATGAGCCCACAATGGGGAAAACCGGACTTTGGAAAATAAGTTCAAAAGAACTCTGATGAAAATTTTCAAAATGATATGAAAAAAAAAAACTAGTTTTGATATTTACAGGCCAACCGAGACTCAATTGCCCAATTATGGTAGTCGCCGTGATCCACGGAGATGAATATTTGAGTGTCTGGGAAATGAGTTTTTTTTTTATAGGTTTTTTTAATTGTAGGATATTATTAGAGAAATTTTTTTTTATGTTTGAAAAGATAATTGAATTTTTTTGTAATTAGATGTGATGTGATATTTGTGACAAAAAAAAAATGAAATGATTGAGATTTGATATGATATTTTGTTTAGATTTCTTTTTTTTGGTTCTATAACCAATTTGTCTTTTAGTAAAAAAAAAAAAAAACAAAAAAAACCACTAAAAAAATCTTTCCCAAACACCGCCATAGGCATGAAAAGGACAGTGGAAGACTCTCTCACTCACTTTGACAGTGGAAGACTATCTATTCACCTCTTTGGAAATTTTGTGTTATTTTATTTGTCGGACTTTAGCCATAGAATCCCATGTCCAAATTAGCTTGCTTGTCTGTATCTTTGAAGAGGCAAAAAAGAGAAGAGGATTGTTTTGTTGTTCTCTCTCTCTCTCTCTCTCTCTCTCTCTCTCTCCATACCAATGTCAGGTGTTCTTAGCATCCTCTTCTTGTTGCTTCCACATCTTTCTTCTTCACTCCCCTTGTGCACTGATTTGAGTAAGCCTCTCTCTCTCTCTGTCTCTCTCTCTCCCCAGTAGATTTTTTTGATTTCAATGAATGAAATTGGTGTTTTGTGGCAATTGGGACTAGGGGCACCCGTCATACCAAAGACTCCTCTGGTCTTCTGTCCACACAATGGGAAAGTATGCTGTGACACAGCCATGGATTTGCAACTTGAGAAGCAATTTCAAGCCATGAATATTTCTGATTCTGGATGTGCCTCCGTTGTGAAATCTATCCTCTGTGCAGTAAGTTTCTTTTTTTAATCTTTGATAATACTTACCCATGTATTGCATATGTTATAGATGTATTTACACGACGATGCATTTGCAATTGGAGATCTAAATTTTTGAAAAATTATTTAATAATTCCGGAACACTATGTGGTTATATTTTAAGCCAATTATTAATTATTTAGTCTCATGTTATTCCCCATCTCCAATATAAATCATGGACTTTTACCCCAGTCTACCAATCAGAACTTTATAAACTGAATAATCACCCAAAAAATTTACGGTAATTTGACAAATGAGAAATAGAGGTTAAATTTGATAACTATTTCGTAGTTAGTTATTGGAATTTTTACAGTACAATTTTATGGGTATTCTTGAAAAACAAAAACAAAAAGAAAAATATAACAAAGTTTCAAGTTTTGAATTGTGTGCTTTAGATAATGTTCTCAATGTCTCAAATTATTTATCCAGCATAAAAAACGTGAACTTAAAAATATTGTATTTTTGTACCAAAATTTTTAATTTTTTTTTCACCAATTAAAAGATTTTCTAAGTATTTTTAATTTGTGAAAATAGGTTGAAATTGTTTCTAGTGTAAAAAAAACAATTTGGAACGAAAATAGTAATTACTCGCTGTTGCCATTACATGTATTCAATAAATTTTGTGTATTCTTTATGTCACTCAGGCTATGTTTGGCATAGGTTATTTGGACTAAACTAGTTTTAAAAAGTGGGGTTATTTGAGATAAATTATATAAATATAATTTTTGACTTTTTTACTAAAAAAATAGAGGGAAAAAAGATATATGTCTGGGATAATTTTTTGACTTTTTATAAAAAAAATATGTATTAAAATATTATATCAACTAGCAAAGTTATCGAAGTACCCTTTTGAGGACTGACATACACTGTGTTGCGCATCAGTGTGGGGTGCTTTTTTTTTGTTTTTTTAAATTTCTGTGCATGTCAACAATGGCTTTTTAGTCTTTTTGCCCTCTGTGTATGCTGACTTTTTGACTAAACAATTGATTAGTGCATAGTATTAATTTTTTTATTTTTTTAGTAATTTTTTTGACTTTTTATTTATTTTAGATTATCCAAAACAAGTATAAAATAGACCAAAACGTCAATAAGATAAAAGAGCAATTTGGCAATTTGTTAAAAAACCAATTTTTTGACTTTTTATCAAGTTCTCTCAAAAAAATCATCAAAAAAGTCAATTTTTTTGCTAAAAAAGTCATCAAAAAAGTCAAAAAGTCAAAAATTTAACTTTTTACCAACTTTTCAAAACACCCCTAAATGTCACATCCAAATTATAATCATTTTATTTTCTCTCTCATAAAAATAAAAAATGCCAAAAAGCTTAACCCAAACGATACTTTTTGGACCCGAACTTTCGTTTGAGATGTAGATTGGCTTTTTGACTATTTTAACTTGGAGTTAAAATTTTTAAAACTTTTATAAGAGAAAAAATTTAATAATTATGATTTGGATGTGATAATTTTTAGTCTAAAACTAAAAAATTTATTTTGTATTTTCATGACTGAAATAGTTTCAATCTAATCCAAACTCACATGCCAAACGAACACTTAGGCCTAGTTTGGAAAGATTAAATAAGTACACTTTTTGACTTTTTATGAAATATGGGTTGGGTTTGGATTGGGTTTGAAGTGATGTATTAGAGAGGTGATGTGACTTAAATAAGATGATGTGACTTAAATAAGATAGTAACTTTTTGACTTTTTGTCTTTTTTCAATCTTCCCAAACTAGGCCTAGTAGTTTTCCATCTGAGAAAAAAATGGAAATGTGAGATAAATTGGAAATTGGAAAATTACTTGCAAACGAGTGAAAACCCAATCCAATTCAATCAAAATTGAAAATCCAAGGTTAACAGATCTAATAATGGCCTTATTTGGTAGAGCTTATTTTCAGTTTATTTCACCTTTTAGCTTAATTTAAGCTATTTTGATGTGTTTAGTTTAGTTTAACAATATAACTTATAACTTTTTGTAAGTCAAAAATCAATTTATGTTCACACTTATAAGTTATAAACTGTTAAGTTATAAATTATAATCACTTTCTTACAATTCTACCAAACGGGACCAATGACCGATTTGAATCCAGATTCTTTGAATCCGATTTCACCTTATTCGGATGTCTCATCCATAAAAATGACCCGGTTTTTTTTGGCATTATAATATACTCACCCAGCCCACTTTTACATGTCAAACACAACTAATATCCGGACCATTTTGATTTTAGTGGGTTAATGCAAAAACGAGTTAGACTTTCGTTATGGACCTGGGCTGTCACAGCAGTAATCTGCTGTGAGCTTCTGGCGTTTTTTTCGAATCTTTTTTGATGATTCAAATTGTTATATTGACTCCGTTTGACAAGTTAGGTTGGGGGCTTTTTTGGCTATTTTAGTCACAAAAAACAAAATATCGCATCCAATCCATAATCATTACACTCTTCTCTCACAAAAAAAGTCAAAAAAGCCAAAAAGTCAAAAAGTCCTTCCCAAACCAAACTTTTTAGCCCAGGCTAAAATAGCCAAAAAAGCCAAAAAGCCAACCCACTTCCCAAACCAAGCCATTGTATGGTTCGTTGAGTATATCAATCATATAAAAAAATAAGTTAATCAAAAATCTGTAAGCCTATGATCAGATTCAAATTGTTTTAAAAAAATTATTGAGATAATGTTAACCGTTTATTTTTTAAAAAACAAATGTATTCTTGTTAAAAAGTTATAGATTTTCAATTAATTTGATTTTTAACATGAATGATCTATTTAACAAACCCTATAATATAAACGGTTCAGATCATAAAAAATGACTCGAAAAAATCCTCCACGAGAGCACAGCAGAACACCCCCGGTTCTTTCATTATACATAATATTTACTTTGCTTGGTTTCATTTTTCTAAAATCACTTTTCAAAAAATTCTACTTTCTTATTTTCAGTGTTTTTTTATTTTTATTGAATTTTTTTAATATTTTAAGCAATTTTTTTTACTTTTTAGACATACCTAACATAAATATACCTAAAAAGTAAAAAAATTATGAAAAAAATATTTTAAAAAATATTAAATACCAAAAATACAAAAAAAAAAAGAAAAGAATTCAATACATTTTTTGTATTTTTATGTATTTATTAATTTTTTAAAATATTTTTTTACAAATTTTTTACTTTTTAGATACATCTAAGTAAGGTGCATCTAAAAAAGTAAAAAAAAAATGTTTAAAATTTTAAAAATATTCACTGCAAACAAAAAAAAACATGAAAACTAAAAAATTCAATTCTCAAAAAACTTAATTAAAAAAACTCAAACTAAACACACTAATTAATTTCCAAATTGAATTTATCTGAGTCCCTAAAAATCAAGTGACAAAAAAAAGGAAATTATTTAATAATTTCGGAATACTACGTGGTCATATTTCAAGCCAATTACCAATTATTTAACTCTCATGTTGTTCCATCTCCAACATAAATTATGGACCGTTATCCCTCTCTACCAATCAAAACTTTATGAAACATCACAGGTCTATACTCTAAAAATATTGGAAAAAAAAAAAAAAAAAAAAAGGCCCTAGGCTGATTAGTACCAACATGTAGGCCCTAAAAATTATTATTAGGCCTACTTCAATCTTCCAAGAAAAAATTCTATCTGGAGTTCATTTTTCGTCATTTTTGCAGACATGTGATGAGTTTGCGGCAGAGTTATTCAGGGTCGAATCCGTGCCTCGATCGATCCCAGTTCTTTGCAACTCTACTGTTTCAGCAAACTCATCCTTCTGTTCAAATGTGTGGGATGTTTGTCAAGACACATCCATTTTGAATTCCCCTTTTGCCCCGTCTTTACAAGGTAGCACCGGTTTGCCACACAATTCGACCTCTGCCAAGCTAACCGACCTTTGGCAGTCAAAAACTGACTTCTGTCACTCGTTTGGCGGTGCCTATAACAATGATTCCTTATGTTTTAATGGAAAACAAGTTTCACTTATTAACGTTACTGAAACTCCTGTTCCCCCAAATGGCCTATGCCTCGAGAAAATTGGCGATGGACAATACATTAACATGGTTTCTCATCCCGATGGCTCTAACCGTGCCTTCTTCTCAAGCCTAGCTGGAAAAATATGGCTAGCCTCTATCCCCGAGCAGGACTCTGGGAAAAGTTTGGGGCTTGATCAATCTAGCCCGTTTGTGGACTTAACTGATCAAGTTCATCTTGATACTACTTTTGGGATGTTGGGAATGGCTTTTCATCCCAACTTTGCTCAAAATGGTCGGTTCTTCGCTTCATTCAATTGTGATAAGGTTACGTCACCTTCATGTTCCGGAAGGTGTGCTTGTAACTCGGATGTGAATTGCGATCCTTCGAAGCTAAATTCTTCAAACGGAGCTACACCATGCCAGTATTATAGCATTGTTGCTGAATACACCACCAATGGAACAACATCAGACCCTTCAACGGTAGGTATCATATTCATTTTAAAAAAAAAAAAATTCCGGCATGATTGTCACTTAAGGGTCTTGAATTACTTGAATTTTATTGATTTTTAGGCAAAAAGCGCCAAGCCATCAGAAGTGAGAAGAATTTTTACATTAGGCCTTCCGTTTACTTCTGATCACGGTGGGCAGATTCTTTTCGGTCCTAAAGATGGGTATTTGTACTTTATGATGGGGGACGGTGGAAGCAAAGACGATAGTTACAATTTTGCGCAGAACAAGAAATCTTTGCTTGGAAAAATTATGAGGCTCGATGTAGATAACATGCCAAGTGAGTATCATTGAGAGATAACCATCTCTCCTTTGTAGCTTCTTGTTAATTTTACTTCATTTTATTGCATTTTTGTTAGGTGAATCTAAATGCATGAATTTATATGCCCAATGGTAGTTTTTACCTACTTTTTTGGGTTAAGCATTTAGGGTGAGTTTGGACAAAGTGTTGGTGATAATTACGAATAAAACATCAGAAAATACAAATAAAAGAAAATTACAATACCTATTGTAAGGGCTGAGGCGTGGAAAATTCTCTCTTTTTAAGGAGATTCAAGCCTTATGTGGTTAGGCAAAGCCTCACACCGGTGCAACAGAAAAAATCTTGACTTGTCTCTCTCAGGATGTAACAGCCCGACGAAATCATATGGTTAACCAATGCTGCACAATTGGTTGAACTCAAAGTTTTATCACATACACCCTTTTTTATTTGCCTGATAATCTCACAAATAAGAAACTTAAGCTACAATAAGAGAGGTGAAAGGCTCAATTTATAGGAGAGGTAACTTTGAGGGCAAATTTTCTTGGAGGAAAAGAAAGGATTAATTTGGAGAACAAGTTATTTGGAACCCAATCACACAATATAATCTATAACAATTATAATATTAAAATACCTGCTAACACAAAGCATTTCAATCTACTTGAAGAACAAGACTATGCATTTGTGAACTCCATATTGTTGTAGAATAGATTGTGATTTTCAAACTTCTTCTTTTTTTTTTCTTTTTTTATCTTTCAGCTCCAGCAGAAATAAGTGAGCTTGGACTATGGGGTAACTATTCGATCCCTCAAGATAATCCTTATTCCGAAGACAAGGATTTGCGGCCTGAAATTTGGGCTATGGGACTACGCAATCCTTGGCGTTGTAGCTTTGATTCAAAAAGGCCTTCCTACTTCCTTTGCGCGGACGTTGGACAGGTTATCTTACTTTAAGCACGTAGCGAAGTATGTCGTCTAGCTATAGAGAAGTCGAAAATAAGTCGTTGTTTTTTTACAGTTTTGATGCTTACAAATTGCAAACATTTAAATTCTTACAGGATAGATATGAAGAGGTGGATGTCATCACCAAAGGCGGGAACTACGGATGGAGTGTTTACGAAGGGCCTCTGTTCAATTCTCAGCAATCTCTCAGAGGAAACACTTCTGCTAACTCTATTGATCTAATCTTCCCAGTGGTGGGATATAACCACTCCAGTGTGAATCACTTGGGATCAGCGGCAATATCAGGCGGGTACTTCTATCGTTCCACGACTGATCCTTGCGCGTATGGAAGGTGAAAAGCTAACCTCCTCGCCCTTCACTTGTTTTCCTCATAAAAACTCAAGAACTAATCTACCTCCATTCATCACTCTGAATTTCCCCGGAAATTCAGTTACTTGTACTCAGATTTGTACGCTGGTGCCATATGGGCAGCCGCAGAAACTCCAAAAAACAGTGGAAATTTCAATACAAGTTCCATTCCTTTCACTTGTGCTCATGACTCTCCAATGCAATGCTCCACCGTGCCCAACAGCGCTGTAGTGGCTTTAGAATACGTGTACTCGTTCGGAGAGGACAACAGGAAAGATGTTTTCATTCTGACAAGCTCGGGCGTGTACAGAGTAGTCCGCCCGAGCCGGTGCAACTACACTTGCTCGAAAGAAACTGTGACAGTTATTGGCAGCCCAGTTCCCTCTCCTTCTATAAATAGTAACAATGTGGCTGAGATAGAGATGGAGTTTGTGATCTTGCTTTTGTCATTGATGGTTTTGGTAGGCATGTTTTTGTAAGCTTGAATGAAAGAGAAACTGTGAAAATTGAGATCTTTGTTTTGTGCAAAGCAATGTTGTGAGATTGGTTATTTTGTCATGGAGTGAAAATTAGAATATATTTTGTAACAATCAGATTTTCGAGTCATTAAATAAACCCAAGTAAACCTACTGTAATCATCCACAAAAGCTACATAATATTGCAAACCACCCTTGGTAATTATAGGGGAAGGACCCCAAACATCAGTATGGACTAACTGAAAATGAGAAGATGAAATAGAACTACTTTTATTAAAAGGAAGAGCAGACATTTTAGCCAGTTTACAACCACGACACTCAGAAATATCACTAATGGGAAAATTGCCTAAATGTCCAGACCTAACTAACATCCTCAACCGATCACTCGACAGATGACCTAACCTAGAATGCCAAATATAAAACAAAGAGGACTTATTGTTTAAACAAAAAGAAGACAATGCAGTAGAAGACACTTCTAGAGGAACATGTAAGCTATCCAAGATATATAATTCTCCAACTCTACGCTCGATCCCAATCTGCCTCTTGGATACCCGGTCCTGTACAACACAATGAGAAGAAGAGAAAACAGAGTGAGAGGTTAGGCACATAAAATACAGGAGAAAGAGACAAATGGGAACAAGAAATAGAACCAACAGAGTGTACAGGCATAGAAGAACCATTAGCAGTAGCAATAGTGATAGAAGAAGAAGGAGAGACAATTACTGAGGAGAGATGCAACCGGGGTCATATGATGTGAACAACTAGAATCAAAGATCCACGAAGTATGGATATTACCTGAAGAGGATGAACCAGACAAACCGAACTGAGTGGTAGTCATAGCGGAGGCTTGGGACGAAAGATTTGGATTGGCCACCATGAAAGACTTGAATTGCTCAAACATAGACTGCATATTGGAAGATGGATCATTCTCAGAAACTGGTGCAGAAAAGGCGGCAGATGAGCAAGATCCTGAATATGTCGGCTTAGCGAATGGTGAATCAGATGAACGACCCTTGGGTTGCAAAAGTTTAGGACATGCATGTTTCCAATGGCCTTTCTGATGACAGAAGCTGCACTCATCCATGGAAACCCGAGGCTTGGGCTTACCAGTAACTTGAAATAAATGAGAAGATGGGGTGGGTAAGAGTGGAGGAGTGGCAAAAACTGACTGGGGAGCAGAAGTACCATGAGCCACCTTAAACCGAGTTTCTTCCGCAATAAGCTCATGGACAGCACCATCTACAGAAGGCAAGGGAGACCGATGAAGAATAGCTCCTTGAAGTGGCTCAAATTGATCACGAAGGGCCATGAGAAATTGAACAAGATGTTGTTTCTCCCGATACTTGATATAACTGTCAAGTAACTGCAAATCGGACGGTTCCATCAAAGCAAGTTGATCCCAATAAGTAGTCATCTCATTGTAGAACTCCTGAATGGACTTGTCTTTCTGACTAGCACTGCGAATAGACATCTCAAGTTCATACTGTTTTGCAAAGTTAGACTCAAGGTACATAGTCTTCAAATAGTCCCAAACTTGTTTAGAAGTAGAATACTTGGAAAAATTCATACCAATGGTAGTTTGAACTAAATTATGAAACCAAGTAAGAATTTGTGCATTTTCCTTATCCCATTTAGCAACATCAGCCACAGTTTCTTGAGATTCCACGGGTCTAATAGTTATACTAATAACATAATTCCACATACCTTTACCCATTATAAAATTTTTCATCACATGAGACCAATAAGAATAATTGGTACCATCTAATTTAGTAGTAATAGCTTGCAATTTATCATCAGCCATATTGTATACCCAAACTATAGTGCATTCAAAACAGAGTAAAAGGCAGCAGAGAAGAGAGAGAGAGAGATGCTCGACCTGTGAAGAGCAGCAATGTTTGGTCCTCGTCCTCAATTGAACCAGACAAAGATCGAGACCAGCGATGAAGGACCACAGACCAGAGCGATGAAGGACTACAGATCAGTGAGATACCCAACCTAGGTCTTCGAATAGACCAGAGACCAGTGACGAAGGACCACAGACCAGCGATGACGGCTTCCTAGGGTTTCGATTGAACCAGAACCAACTGCTTCGGTGATGACCTACGAATGCGACAGATCATCGAAGCCTTGCAACGAAGCCTTGCGAAGAGGAAGGAAGAGCTGCGACAACAACCTTGCGAAGAACGACTGCGACAGGTATGCTAATGTTTGAAACTTAGCTCTGATACCATGTTAACAGATGACAAAACTTGTGTATATTAATTAATCAAAAGAAGTACAAATATATAAGCAATAGAATGAAACCCTAATAACCTAAAGTACTAAACTATCCTTAATGAATAATATAAACTACATAATTCACAAGCTCGACCCCAACATACTCAATGAAGTGGCAAAACTGGGATCGCTACATTTATTACATTTACACTATTATTATATATGTGAAGGATGGAGGTGGTGTAGTCTACCCTCTGTCATGGTATTTTTTTCTTTCAAAAAATCCATGCAATGGGATGGCTCTCGTTATTGTTTTTTGGTTTGTTTTTCTTCACCACGAAAGGGGGTAAATATGTAACATTAAGTAAATATCTACATTAAAATAAAACTTCTTGCTGGGTTAATTGTGAGTACAGGTCTCTTTTCAATTTAAAAAATAATAGGACAGGCATCGCTTGGGCTCAAATAGCCGTTGTTAAAGAAATGAGACTCTAACAACATAGATTACAATAACTATTGGAAAATCTATTAGTTCAGTGTGGGATTGCTGCCACATCGAGATCAATTGTCTACAAAAATGATTTAATTAATATTTATTTGTATGATTTAAATTGTCTAGGCTATAAAATTATCCTTTCACATATCAAATTATAATTTGACTAATATTGATTTGTACAATCATCTCCAATTAGATCACATAGACAGAAATAAAAAACTTTAGGGAGATAATAGACAAAATCAATAGTTTAAAGATGAAACACAAAAAATAAAAACATAAAAATTGCTGATGGTTTATGGGATAAAAAATTGGAAAATTAGTAAAAAAAAAATCATGTTGCATGAACTTGTCTTTTATTAGGTTTAATGACTTTTTTTCTTAACTAATAATAAAGTCTCATCATATAAGTTGTTTTGAAAATTAAGTCATTTTTCAAAATTTTAACATAGCATTTGACATTTTTAACCTTATTTATGTGAAATCACAAATGGAGAGAAAATAATCAACATTTTTTATGTTCCAAAATATAAAATTTTATTATCAATTTTTAATGTACAAATTCATTTCTTATAACATTTATATATTTTAAAACTTTTCGATAAGATCTATTAAATAAGATTCAATTGAATAAAAAATGGAAAAAAAAAATTTCACACTTCTAAGAAATATTTTTAAAAGTGTGCAATTTTTTGGTTTCTGATTTTTTTTTTAAATTATAATTTCTAATAATGTGAAATTTCATATATTTGAAATGTGAAAAAAAAAAACATTAAAAGAAAAAAAAGTAACAATATTTTTTTTGGGAAAATTACATACAATTCATAGATTTTGGCCATTATAACAAAATAAATTATGAATTTTCAATTTTGTCAATTTAAATACAAATGTTTTTAAAAAAATTCAATCTAAATATTTGTTTATTTTCTTTAAATAAAACTGACAGGAAATGAACTAACTGAAAAGGAGAAGATGAAATAGAACTACTTTTATTAAAAGGAAGAGCAGACATTTTAGTTAGTTTACAACCACGACACTCAGAAATATCAGTAATGGGAAAATTGCCTAAATGTCCAGACCTAACTAACATCCTCAACCGATCACTCGACAGATGACCTAACCTAGAATGCCAAATATAAAACAAAGAGGACTTATTGTTTAAACAAAAAGAAGACAATGCAGTAGAAGACACTTCTAGAGGAACATGTAAGCTGTCCAAGATATATAGTTCTCAAACTCTACGCTCGATCCCAATCTACCTCTTGGATACCCGGTCCTGTACAACATAATGAGAAGAAGAGAAAACAGAGTGAGAGGTTAGGCATATAAAATACAGGAGAAAGAGACAAATGGGAACAAGAAATAGAACCAACTGAGTGTACAGGCATAGAAGAACCATTAGCAGTAGCAATAGTGATAGAAGAAGAAGGAGAGACACAATTACTAAGGAGAGATGCAACCGGGGTCATATGATGTGAACAACTAGAATCAAAGATCCACGAAGTATGGATATTACTTGAAGAGGATGAACCAGACAAACCGAACTAAGTGGTAGTCATAGCGGAGGCTTGGGACGAAAGATTTGGATTGGCCACCATGAAAGACTTGAATTGCTCAAACATAGACTGCATATTGGAAGATGGATCATTCTCAGAAACTGGTGCAGAAAAAGGCGGCAGATGAGCAAGATCCTGAATATGTCGGCTTAGCGAATGGTGAACCAGATGAACGACCCTTGGGCTGCAAAAGTTTAGGACATGCATGTTTCCAATGGCCTTTCTGATGACAGAAGCTGCACTCATCCATGGAAACCTGAGACTTGGGCTTACCAGTAACTTGAAATAAATGAGAAGATGGGATGGGTAAGAGTGGAGGAGTGGCAAAAACTGACTGGGAAGCAGAAGTACCATGAGCCACCTTAAACTGAGTTTCTTCCGCAATAAGCTCATGGACAGCACCATCCACAGAAGGCAAGGGAGACCGATGAAGAATAGCTCCTCGAAGTGGCTCAAATTGATCACGAAGGGCCATGAGAAATTGAACAAGATGTTGTTTCTCCCGATACTTGATATAACTGTCAAGTAACTGCAAATCGGACGGTTCCATCAAAGCAAGCTGATCCCAATAAATAGTCATCTCATTGTAGAACTCCTGAATGGACTTATCTTTCTGACTAGCACTGCGAATAGACATCTCAAGTTCATACTGTTTTGCAAAGTTAGACTCAAGGTACATAGTCTTCAAATAGTCCCAAACTTGTTTAGAAGTAGAATACTTGGAAAAATTCATACCAATGGTAGTTTGAACTAAATTATGAAACCAAGTAAGAATTTGTGCATTTTCCTTATCCCATTTAGCAACATCGGCCACAATTTCTTGAGATTCCACAGGTCTAATAGTTATACCAATAACATAATTCTACATACCTTTACCCATTATAAAATTTTTCATCACATGAGACCAATAATAATAATTGGTACCATCTAATTTAGTAGTACTAGCTTGCAATTTATCATTAGCCATATTGTATACCCAAACTATAGTGCATTCAAAACAGAGTAAAAGGCAGCAGAGAAGAGAGAGAGAGAGATGCTCAACCTGTGAAGAGCAGCAATGTTTGGTCCTCGTCCTCAATTGAACCAGACAAAGATCGAGACCAGTGATGAAGGACCACAAACCAGAGCGATGAAGGACTACAGATCAGTGAGATACCCAACCTAGGTCTTCGAATGGACCAGAGACCAGTGACGAAGGACCACAGACCAGCGATGACGGCTTCTTAGGGTTTCGATTGAACCAGAACCAACTGCTTCAGTGATAACCTACGAATGCGACAGATCATCGAAGCCTTGCAACGAAGCCTTGCGAAGAGGATGAAAGAGCTGCGACAACAACCTTGCGAAGAACGAGTGCGACAGGTATGCTAATGTTTGAAACTGTGCTCTGATACCATGTTAACAGATGACAAAACTTGTGTATATTAATTAATCAAAAGAAGTACAAATCTATAAGCAATAGAATGAAATTCTAATAACCTAAAGTACTAAACTATCCTTAATGAATAATATAAACTACATAATTCACATTTTCATTATGGATAAAGGAACCAAGATTATTAGAATGATAAATTACAATTTGGAATTTTATATCAAATCTCACTTTTGATTTCTTATTTTTAATTCTTACAATAACCATTTATACTGTCGGTCAAATTGCATTGAGACCTTTCTGATATTAAATTACTTTACTTCGTATTAAATTACATAACGAAATTTGTCATGTAAACCTCATATGAGGCATTTTTTAGGACAAAGTGATTTCTTTTTTTCTTTTTTCCTCCTCTGTTTGTCATTATACCCATGGTGGATTTAGAAATAGTAAAAAAAAAAATTACATTGAAAAAAAAAAAAAACGAAAGAATTATAAATGAAAGAAAATTACATTCTCACCCTGAAAAATGTCTCCTGCAGGGGTTAAATTAACATCAAACTAACTGAAGGGCTAAATTGCAACTTGACCAAAAATTGAAGGAATTGATTGTTATAATTGAAAATAAGTAACCAAAATGAAATTTATGTAAAATACAAGAGTGCAAAGCGTAATTTACCCTTATTAAAAATTGTTTCCCCCTACATTTTCATAATAAAACTTGTTCCTCCAATAACTTCCTGCCAAAAGAGGGGGCTCCAAAAAACATCAAGAAAAAGAAATTGAATAATGAATGAATCCAATAAAATAAAAAGGGGGAAAAGAGAAGAGCCCAGATATATCTAAACATTAACAACACTAACATGTACAAGCTAATGTCTGCAAAACTTGTTTCTCTTCTTTCCCTTTACATTTCCTTTTTTATTTTTGTTCTTAACTCCGAAGTTTTCAAAATATCTCCTAGCATAAAAGGCTTCTATCACCACAACGATGAGGGTCATCTCATGTTGCAGCATTGGGCTTCTCCTAGACTTTGCAACTTGTCCCACAAGCACATCATCTGTCTCGGAGACTGGTAATGCGCCGTGTAATAATCTTCAACGCAACCGAATTGACAGAACTTCATGCTGTGCAAATACTCAACCAGCCTTGAACTGTTGAACTTTTCTACCCACATCCCCATGCTCACATCTTCCATCTTGAACAACTGCAACATCTCCAATATAGTAAGTCTAAATCAACATCAACAACACTATACATGAGAGAGAGAGAGAGAACATACTCTCAACTTGTGTTTTTCAAACTCCGATACAATGTATTGTGCAATGTCAGGTGAGATTATGTAACCAGGCCCATTTGCATAGGGCGGATACTCTTCTTCTGGCCATTCCTGTGCTTCCAGAAAAGCACATGGACTCATTTCCCCAGAAAAACAATGTACTAACCAAGATAGCACTAGAGATTATATGGTAAATGAGATGTTAAAAGAAAGAGATTTGGATTAAAACAGTTGTTATATGCTTATACGACATTGGTGTATAGAAGTAGAATTTTCATCATAAACAATTTCCTTCGTGTCTATCCAGTTACACCAGTTTAAAGAGGGATTCCAAAGGAAAATGTTTTCAACCCCTATATGTTGATGTGGCAGAAGCTAGGTAGAAGGGGTATAATGTCTCGGAATAACAAAATGGTAATAACTAACTTACATATGATGAAATTAATACGCACAAAATCCTTAGTAATTGAATGTAGACCAAAAACTTAATTCCAACGTCTCAATTTTTGTACGTTAATCATCTTTGCAAACTGGTAGATGATATTTATTTCGTCCCTGAATCATTCATATCTGTGGACGAGAAAATTTCAACTAGATGAGAACTACACAAAAACCACCAAGGAAAGGTACGGAACATAGACAAATACATATACACCCTGTTTGATTGACTTTTTAGAATCTGTTTTCTTTTCTTTTGTCTCCTATTTTTTAGGGTTTTTTTTTTTCAAATTTGAAAATATTTGTTTGGTATTTATTTTCGTGAAGTAGTTTCTATTTATTTTAAAAAAACACAAAAAACATATTGTGAAAACTCAACCAAACAGGGTGACAAGCTTATCATTATAGATTCAAAACTTGTCAGTGGAGTGAGTCCCCGTAAAGTAAACAAAAGCAATGCCATGGCCATGATTCTATAATTAAATTGTAACTTATAATGGAAAATCTTATAATGGAAAATCAGTGATGGAAACTTAAACCACTTTTTCTCAGCTAGTTTAATTCATATTAAGAAAGCAAAAAGTTAAAAAGTGTCTTATTAAAAGAAGCAACCAAGATATGCGATAGTAGAACTCAAGGGAGAAACCGAGAAAGTATACCTCATAGGTCACTGCCCATTTACCATTGCGTAGCGGCTTGTGGTAGTAATTGATATTTCCCACATACAGGCTTCGGCCACCATGGACTTTCTTTGCTTCCTCAATCACAGCATCTATCCGAACAAATGTGTCATCATCACACTTCATGATATAGTTTGCTGCCACTCTGCGAACCTGAAATAACCAAATGCATCATGAATGATTTATCTACCCAAAAAAAAAATACCAATTGCAGATTTTAAAGCACCACCCACCCCATATTCACAGATTGCAACTGTCTTCAGAACAACAAGGTCGTAATTATCCATGTATGGCACTATGACAATATCCCTGAAAAACTCTGTTTCTTTCATTAGCTCTGCATTGATTTCCTGTCTTCCATGCTGTCAAAATAGAAGTTCCTAGATAAGTAAGCAACACCAACTTAAGCTATGTTTGGATCATGGATTTCAATAGAGATTTGTGGAGGAAAAAAGAGAGCGAAGGGAATCCAAAATCCAAGCACAGCCTTAAGGTTTCCACACAGAAGGGATGTCGGGAATTAAGACCTGCCACTTTGCCAACCCTTACCAGTGCTACAAAAAACCGAGCCACAACATTTAACGATTTGATAAATGGATGCTGCATCCACGACTTCCTCACAGCCATCCTCTCAGCAAAATGATTTCCTGCAGAAAGAATGCCAATGAAAAGCTCCACAGGCGCATCAGGAAGAGGCGGGGACTTCCATATAGAAAACATCTCGAGATGCATCTGTGGAGCAAAGCTTGGATGCGATGTGGGTAATGAGGCAGCAAATATAGAATGCACATCTAAGTCTCCTTTCACAAATAGTCCTGTTGCGTCATCAAGAGTGAACCCCTATCAACATAATAAGCACCTTGAGACTCCACATTCATCACAAATACACACAAAATCAGCGTGTTTAGTAGCGGTACTCACAGTGCGATAAGGAAAAGAAGTAATGTGCCTCCCATCAACACTGATATGATAACCTTCCAAACCAGCCCGCAAGGTAAGAACAAATAGCTTGTCCTCTGCAAATGGGTATGGCCAATCAACTGTCACCTTCATTGTCCTCCCTATCAGCCTGTTCAACCACCATATAGTCTTAGACTCTTCTGAGCGATTATCATCGTCACGAATCCACTTCTCACATTTCACCTGTCCATCCACTTTATACAACCCTAAAATTAGCAGAGCTGAACAACCATGTATAGTTGAGGAATTCATGATCTACCTACTGAAGCTACTATACTAATCAATGAAAACAGAACAAGCATATGATGAAAACAAATGACTATAACAGTGTTACCAGAAAATACTAATATTCTAGTGAATTATGTTTTGAAATGTACATTCCGAAACATATTACACTTTCATTCCAAAACAGTAAATCTAGTGATCCCACATAAAGGTTTCATTAGGAGGGGGAAAAAAACAAACATAATGAACTAAAATATAAAGCGAGAAATTTTGACATGACACAATGAATGGATCATAACGCCCATAGAAATGTGAAGCAACATAATTAATTTTGAAACTACATTTTATTAGGTGCCTAATTGTTAAAAGAAAATTACTCTAAAATATATTAAATTCTGTGTAATCTATACAAGTCTATAATAACCACTCCAAGCTGAAAGTTTCAGCAAACATCATAGAGAAACAGTGACTTCAATCCCTATCTATCACATTAAACAAGAAAGTTTCAAACAAAAGTTACATATTTTCCCACTATAATTGATCATTATTCGAATTTAGCAGCATCAGAAAGTAACAACAAAATTCATGTATCCTAAAGAATGATAAAACAGAGTAACAATGACTTTGCTCATTGTTCGAATTTCAAAGCAGCAATAAGTAGAGTAACAACCAAATTCGTATATCCTCAAGAATGATAAAACAGAGTAACAATGAAATTCCCTTACCCGTTTCTTCGCCAGCATTAGACCTCCACCCTTCACACCTCAACGCCGACCCCCATTGCATCCGATAACACGTATTTTGTTCGATAACCGGCCTCCCACTGAAATCCCCTTTCAACCTCGGATTAAAATGCAGTATCCTCGGAGGTTCTTCCCCGTCCACGGTCTTCAACCCCTGCAATTCCATCATAAACTGTGAAACCATCACAATCTCATTCTTCTCTCTCACCAATGCAATCTTTGGTTCAGTCTCTGGGTGAGCCCAATTAGGCTTCCCCACCACTGTAATATGTGATCCCAATGTCAACCCACATGGAATCACCATAATTCGACCTCTCTGTTTGAATTCATCGCCCGAAATCGAAATCGAATGAGTACACGATTCGGATAAATTTTCTCCCCTGTTTTCCAATTCGAGTCGAATTTTCCCAGATGAAATCTCTTCCCATAGCTTCTTTCCCACCATGAAAGCATGGTTTGCCATCTTGTGAAGCTCTGAGAAGTCATTTTGGCTGTGATTTCCAAATGAACCAACATCGAACACTAAGCCCGACACTTGCTTGTGCTCCTCTCGCATTCGTCGCTCTGGGGTTCGAACAAACGATCTCTGTGAAACCCTAAATGATTCGACATTTGGGGATTCTTTTCGTGCCAATTTATCTTCAGCTTCACCAGAACCAAACCCTAACCCTAATTGAGTTTTCAGGACAAGAGGGATTTCGAAACTCATCAAGAGAAGATAGAAAAACAAGACACCCGTCAAGATCTGAATCGATCTTAGTCGACTCAATGACACCAATGTCTCAATCTTTGCTCGCTTCATTGTCTTGGTGCCCAAATCTCTGGGTTTTTTTTTTTAGGGTTTTATGATCAAGAAGGATCTTTATATGCATATAAGAGAGGGAAATCAAGGGTTTGTCTTTGTTTTCTTTTTCTTATTTGTTTTTGTTCTACAGACTCAAAACTTTTTCAAAGAACTGAGAAAGAGAGTTAGGTTGTCTTGAAATTTATCAACAGACCCAAAAGATTTCAAAGAATTGAAAAGAAAAGGGGTAGGTTGATCAGTTCAAACATGCAGTGCGAGAGAGAGAGAGAGAGAGAGAGAGAGAGAGACACACACACACACACACAGACAAATTTTGTTTACAATGATTGTATGTTAGACATTTCATTAAAGAACTCAAGAAACAATAATAACAGTTAGAAACAAGAGAGACTGGTAGTCATGGATTAGCCACCACGAGTCCTCAGGTTTAGGACTTGTCCAAACTTAGGTTTTTTTTTTTTTTTTGTGACCTATAAAAAAAAAAGATGTTCTAAAGTGTTATCACTACCGAAGTATCAGTGGAGCTCATCAACCGCCCTACTCACGGACAAGTTTCGATCGGAGTAGAGCGCGAGGTCTCCAAAAAGAGCCTCCGGAAAATTCAAGATTTTTCACGCCCCCAAGAGTCGAACTTACTCATAATTGTGGAAAGACAGCCTTCACCACTAGGCCACCACCCTCGGTGGCCACCACCCTCGGTGGTTTGTCCAAACTGGGTTGATCACAAGATTTGTTTACATTTTATGATAGGCAAATTACTAACACCCTTATATTTGATTAAAATGCGAATTTTTTAAAAATTTGAGAAATTATAAATTATCTCTTCAGATTTATACTTGTGTAACAAATGAAAGGATAATTTGTTAGGTAAATATAAACTTCAAGGGACAAGTTATTATGGGCTATTTTGGAAAGTTGGCTTTCACTTTTTTTGATTTGTAGCAAAAGTCAAAAGTTAGCTTTTTTGCATTTTTTTTTATTTGGGAAGTTAGTTTTTAGCTACTGGTAAAATTACAATTCTACCCCTCATAAGTCAAAATGTGCTACATGCGTAAAGTTATAAATATTTTAAATTAATTGGGGTAGTTTGATCATTTTATTGTGATTTGACATCACAAACAAATATTAATCAAAAAAATCAAAAGTAACTTTTTACCAACTTTTCAAATTATTTGTCTAAAAAATTCAAAAGCTTAAACGCCAAAAAGTCACTTTCTACCATCTTCTCAAAATAGGTCTATGTAAATATAAACTTTAAGAAGCGAGATATAATTTCTCAAATCTCAAGAGACAATTCATATTTTAGTCAAGTCTCGAAGAGATGTTGATAATTTGTTCTTTTATGATTAATGGGTTCTTAATTGATTACATTTGTTTACATTTTGGGTTTTGTTTGAGTGCTATCAATTATTTTAGTTCCATTATTTTTTTAAGACTCCATTTATAAATTTAAAAAAAATTTAAAAAAAATTCTCCCTTCAAATAATACCAAAATTATTTTTGTCAAAACATTTCATTCATTCAATTACATGTACACCACCCACACCCCCACACCCAAAAAGCCCTTCTTCCAAAAATCCTAACAAAACCCACGAAGGTGATTACTTTTTCACCTACACATACTTTATTCATGACCTTACAATGAGAAAATAAATGTAGAATTTTGAATCTTCATTCCTTAAAATATATCAGCAAGAAATTGGGTTGGGATTTTTTTGCTTGAGAAAGAAGAAAAAGAGCCAAATGTGATTACTGTCAATTATCTTGTCAAGACTAGCTTGATTTGTGATCTTTATCGCCTTATCCATTTCTTTGGTTTGATCATTGTCAGAGTTGGTTATCTGTTCGTGAACAAATAAGAAATGTTTGGTTACTTGGTCCAAAACAAATAAACAAAGTTAGGGTTTGTATTCTTGAATTTTGGTCATATATTCGAAAATTCAGTCCCGAAAAAATGACGAACAATTTTTATTATTTTTGCTATTTTTTCAAGAAACTTACTTTTATAAGGCCAATCTCCTTTAAGTTATGAACACTATCAAAATTATGAACCTCCTCTGAGTTTTTATTGTTATACTCCCCACGTCTCATGAAATTGTGATTGCTGGAAAAATCTTCACTCATTATCATTGCCGAAGAAGTGTAGGTAATTAAATGGTTGCTACTGTTACCACTGGAACATTGCTACCGTTACCACTGGAATATTGCTACCAAAAGGTTTTCAAGGTTTTAAGGGTAAGTAAGTTTTGAAAGTGGGATTTGGGAAAGATGGATGGGTGGTAATGGAGATGGGTACTCGCATAAATCATAATCCATGATATAGTGAGTGTGTGGACTTAATTATGAGATAGATCACAAAATTATTGATGTCATTTTAATAATTTTATTTGAAATTATTATCGTAATAAAAAAAATTAAAAAATAAAATGTATAACATAATTGATAACACACAAATAGCAACACTTTTATTTTTTTTCATTTAGGTATCTATCACTTGGCTCATTAATTCCGGATACATATAATGTAACTCCAGACATATAGTATTAAAAAGAGGATAAAAAATTTATTAGACACTTTAGAATATTATGCGACGCATGGTGTTATTGATTAATAAAAAATTATAATAAATAATTTTTTTATTTTATTTCTTAATTATATAGCAAAGTTATATTAACATGTTTTGACTAAGTGAATTTTTTTTATTATATAATTGGTTTTGAACCTCACATAAATAATGTGATATGATATTTTAAAATAATTATCTCTTACATATATATGATAATTCTTAGCTTTTATTTGGCATGTTAGGCTTTTTAATTTTTTGACTATTTTAGTCAAAAAAAGACAAATTAGGTTTCTTAGCGCAATAAGACAAAATATCACATCCAAACAATTATTATTTCATTTTTTCTTTCACAAAAGTTAAAAAAACCAAAAAGCCTATCCTATATGAGATTTTTTAGTTTGAAGCTAAAACAACCAAATAACTAATCTACATTCCAAACAAACCCTTAGCCTCGTTTAATACACACTATTTTAGTACATTTTTTTTGAGAAAGGGTCTGTACTGTCTTCAGTCTAGATCTGGAACAGCTCAGTTTAGTTTGGCCCATTGGGCCAACTTTTCAACCCCTTTTTCGATAATCTCAACAGTTCATATTTTAGAATTTGTTGAGTACATTATCCCTGTAAAAACTCATTTCGATCGAATAACGGATACTATGTATTAGAATCACTTTTGTCGGGAAAAAAAAAATGGAAGGTCAAAAAATTAACAATTCATAAAAAAGTGATCTAAATATATAGTATCCATTATCCGATCAACGTGATTTTTACAGGGATAATGTACTCAACAAATCCTAAAATGTGAACGGTTCGGATTATCAAAAAAAGACACAAAAGTAGGCCTAATACACCGAATTGCACCCTCTAGTTCAGATGGTGAACTAAAGGCAAGCCACTGCCTTTGAAAAGTTTAGTCAAAACCCCTCCATTGGATCATTGTTTGGTAAAAAAGACAGTCCTATTTATTTATTTTTCATAAACCCCCTAAGGAGAAAACATATAATTGAATAAGAACAAAATAAAATATTTTTTTTCTTTCTTAGACAATATTGTTAGAATAACATATTACTGTGAGATAGAGTAACATATTACTGTTTATATCAATTTCAACGGTAATATTTTATTTTAAAAGAATTTCATAGTCAACATGGATGTTATTTGATAGATTTTGATGAGAGAATTCTAAAAATATTAATTTTATTAAAACTAACATTTACATCAAAAGTTATATTATTTTAAAATTTAATATTTTGATAATAGTGATATTTGTTGGACTTTTTAAGAATTTTTTTTTATCCTTGTCCTTAATGCATTAAAATTTTATTATGAGGTGATTTTTTGACCAAATCCCCCATCTTTTTTTTTAATCTTATTTGAGTCACATCACCTCTTATTTAGGTTAAATTACCTTTCTATCACATTGCACATCTTTTCATAAAAATTTAAAGAGTATACTTATTTAGGACGTTTGGAAAAACTTTTTTAGCTGGACTTTTTAATTTTTTGGCTAATTTAGCCGGTCTAAATTAACTCCGTTTGAAATGATTATGATTTAAATGTGACATTTTATCTTATTGATTTATTTTAGTATGTTTTGTCTTTTTGTACTTTTTTAGTTCTAATCCAAACCCAACCCACTTGTCAAACGGTAACTTAAATCATTCCAAACAAACCCTTGAAAGAACAAACAAAGATTTTAATTAATTATTCTATTTTTTGGAGATTCGAACTTATTACTTAGCACATGGAAATCATAGAGGTCGAATAACTAAAAAGAACATAATTAAAATTTGTATACATTTCAAACAATAAAAAAAAATTGCTAGGTACTCTATGAAAGTTGTGTGGTGATATCACAAACTAATAATAAAATATTATTTTTGTGTTGTCTTTTTAAAAACTAGCAATAATCTCATCACATACACCAATCATACTTGTTTAAGGATATCAGCCGATCATGTCAATGAGACATGAAATAACTGCACCAAATAATTGGATATGTAATATTTGTAAATGATTCGTTTGGATGATTGGAGTTAATTTGGAATTAGAGGACCATTGGCAGCATCAATTCAAGAGGGTGGGGTCTAAGATTGGAGCTGGTCATGGACCATGTTGACATGAAATAACTACACCAAATAACCGGATATGTAATATTTGTAAATGATTCGTTTGGATGATTGGAGTTAATTTAGAATTAGAGGACCGTTGGGGGCATCAATTCAAGAGGGTGGGTCTAAGATTGGAGCTGATCATGGACCATGGTTAGTGATGGTTTGTTTGTTTTTTTATGGTGATTGTCTTAGATTTCATTTGGCAACTATATGTTTTACTCAAAAAGTTAAAAAATCACTATGAGTTGTTGTATTACTCTCTTTACTTTTTTGTATGTTTTTCGTAAAAAAGTACTAAAATAACTTATTCCTAAATGAACCCTTAATCTCTCTCACTATCTTTGTTGTGTTTCAAATTGTTGGAAGACATGTCCCACTCACCATTTGTCATGGCCACTACAACAAGAATAAGCACTTCAAATTGAACCATTATTTAATGGTGCTAGTTGGCATGAAATGGAATTCCATAAATGGTCCATGATAGGGACATCCTCTTCTCAAGTGTAAACCACTCAATTTTGATTTTTTTAATTAATATTTTTTTTCCCTTTTATTCTTTATTAACTTATTTTATTTTATAAAAACATATAAACAATGAACTGAACTAATTTAGTTGACTGCAAATTTCATTAA